CCCTCCTGCTGCCAGTCCTGCTGCTGTACCCCCTCCTGCTGCCAGTCCTGCTGCTGTGCCCCCAGCTGCTGTGTCCCCCTCTGTTGCGCTCTTCCCTGCTGCGCCCCCGCCCCTTGCCTGACTTACATCTGCACCCCTGTGAGCTGTGAATCCAATGCCTGCTGTCAGGAGGCCTGTGTATCCAGCCCCTGCCAATCAACCTGCACCAGCTCCTGTGGGCCCTCCTGCTGCCAGCCCACCTGTTGCACACTATCCCCTTGCTGTGTGCCCCTCTGCTGTACTTCCATCTGCTGTACGCCCGTCTGCTGTACGCCTGTCTGCTGCAAGCCCGCCTGCTGTGTACCCGTCTGCTGTGGGGCCGGCCCCTGCTCATCCTCCTCATGCTGCCAGCCCTCTCCCTGTGCCCCCTCCTGCTGCAAACCCTCCTCCTGCATGTCCCTCATCTGCCAACCCGTGTGCAAGCCTGCCTGCTGTGCCCCTGCCTCCTCCTCCATGTCCCTGCTCTGCCGCCCTGCATGTCCCCGCCCAGCCTGCTGTGGGGGCCAAAAGTCCTGCTGAGTGGGCACACCTTCCCTGGTGCCTTCAGGAACTGCCTCTTACCAATTGGAGAGATGGGCTGACACATCCTTTCTTCCCTGAGCCTATGAAGGGCTCTCTGCTCCTCTAGACAACATACCTGTATCCACCACCTCCTCTCCCTGGCGCTTGGGTCACCAGGTCTCTGCACTGGCCAGGGGGTGGGGTGGGGTGGGGGGTCTCCCTTCCTGGGGAGCTGCTCTGGATCGACTGGGTCCACCCCAGGAATCTGCTTGGAAAACGAATAAACTCACGCAACTTGGATGAGACGTTGCTTTCTCTAGTCATATCTAGTTGCATCCAGGACCAGGGGGAGGCGCAGTTTCCCATGCCCTCCATGCCTGGTCACAACCTGATGCTTCCCCAACCCTCCCCAAGAGAGCCTCCTGACATGCACTGCAGTGGCCTGCCGTCCAAGACCTACCCACCAGGCCTGTTTGGTGCCTGGGATGGTGGACGCCATAGCAACCTCGTCCCTGGTCCCTTCTCAGAGCCCACCCTGTGAAGGGCGCCGTCCCAGGCACCCTTCAGGCAGCTGCTCTCAGGGGTTCTCTGAAGAGTCCCCTCAGCACCTGTGGGGAAGGGGCTGCTGGAAGACACAAAAACAGGGTCTCCTGGGCAGAGAGGGGCAGATGCAGGGGCTCTGCCCTCTGCCCAGTCTGAAGTCTAGTCTCAAGAGCCCCCCAAGGCTGTCCCTCCTCCTTGTGCTCAGGAAACAGGCCGCCCCCCTTCTCCTGCATGTAGAACCTCACTCCCTGCGGCACTGTGGCCACTGGAAGAAGTTCCACAGACCAGGCACTTATTCTCTCAGTTCTGGAGGCTGGAAGTCTAACGCCAAGGTGTCCACAGGGACCTGTTCCGCCTGGAGGCTCGGCGGGAGGGCCCTACCTGATCTCTCCGTTTCTGGTGGCTCCCAGGAATCCTGGGCATTCTTTGGCTTGTAGCCACCCACTCCAGTCCTGCCTCCGCCTCCCCATGCCCAACTCCCCTCTGTGTGTCTCTGGGTCATCAAATCCTCCTCTCCTTGTAATGACACCACTCGTGGGATGTAGAGGCCACTTCAGTCCGATAGGACCTCATCTGAGCCAGAGTTCATCCATAAGACCCTTTCCCCATTGTTTTCTCCTCCAGATTGTTCATCCAGCCTGTCTTATTCAGACAGAGATAATAACATGCACAAAAACAAGACAAAAGCACAACCAAGCAACACAATGGGACTAACAGTTCCGGGGAGACATGGAAGAAGGGGAGGTGGGGGAAAAGGTAATGGTATTAACAAACCCAGGTACAAGGGAACAACAAGTGATCCAAATCGGGGGTGAGGAGGGTGTAGGAGGCCTGGTAGGGTGTGACCAAGGGTAATGCAACCAAGAGGAATTACTGAAACCCTAATGAAGGCTGAATGTGATAGTGGGACAAGAGGAAAGGAAAAGGAAATAGGGGAAAGAGCTAGAAGGTAAAGGGCATTTATAGAGGTCTAAATACAGGTATGTACATATGTACATATATTTATATATGAGGAGGTGGAAATAGATCTATGTGCATATATATATACATTTTGTATTAAGGTAGCAAATGGACATTGGGTCTCCACTCAAGTACTCCCTCAATGCAAGAACACTTGTTCTATTAAACTGGCATTCCATGATGCTCACCTTCCCAACA